ACTGGCAAGGGAGACGTGAGAGCAGAAGCTACACAGAGGGAGCGCCTCGTCTAAGAGCCAGGGAGCTACTCTTGTCCTCTCCAAGATTAAAAAATGACAGGGACAGAGAGCCACCGCAGCCTTCTCCAGGGTGACCTGCTTCAAGTCAGACAGATGAACACAGGACAGTCAGCCTTCTCTTCGAGGAGCAAAACAAAAGCTTTTTGTTTTATTTATTTATTTTTTGTAATTAAGAAAAAAAAAGAAACCAAAACACAATTATTTGAGAGCTGTAATGGTATATTAACTAAAATCTCTTACTTCATATTTTTAAGCATTTTTTTAATTCATGAAGAATTCATTAAAAACATACTTTAAAACTCCAGATCTCAGAGTCAACACAGATTATGTTTTCAAGGATAAAGGTTATGAACTGCCACATCATTATTTCCTAGGACATTTTGTTCTTCCTGTCATTTTCATGTTTTGACTGTTTTTTATCTGTCATATTTATGCTGAGTTTCTCAAATTTAACTTTGAATTTAAGTAAATCACTGACATCACAGTGAACTTTCAGATTTAATCCAAGAAAAGAAAACAAAAGCATATAAATTATTACAACACAAGCAACGTTTTTCAATTACAATTTAAAAACATGCTTCATTTAAAATTAATATATATATATATGTTAATAAGCAAATGAAGCAATTCAAAATGGATTAAAATATTTTCTTTGTGGTGACCTGAAAAGCTTCAGAGCTCACAGACAACTTTGAAGGCAGTGGATCTGATTACTAAATAACAATCCATAGGACTTGCTTTATTTACTCTGGGGGCAGAGCAGAGAATAAATTCCATTGTTATTAGAATCATGTAGCTTTCCTGACTGTAACACTAACTATTACTTTAAGAAATCTGAAAAACCCATGCAGTCATCTTGTTATTCACAAAGTTCAAGGGTCTCTCCATTAGGGTAAATATTTGGGGCAGTTCTTTCTCCTGTTTCCATTTTAGCATAAAACCCTTTTCTTACACATGAAATGTATGCTTTTCTGTTGTGTACACCTAGACACCAAAGCTTAAGTATAGGATTTAATCAATCAAATAAAGCCATCTTCCCACAACAGTCACTACCTTAGGGAATAGCTAATTTGGAGGTGAGGATGTGAGAGATGTTAAGGCCTGGCTGTGGCAGCTCCATGGAATTTAGAAATGACGTGGGGTGTTAAGAAATACTGTCAGTTGTCAGCTACTGGTTTTGGTGGACAGTGAAGCAGCCAGCCTGGCGGTCACGGAGTTGTGAAATCCAGGTTCTTGCTCTGAAGTGAAAACACTAGTGAGATTCAGCACCCTGAAGGTCCCAGGGAAAGACTGTTTCAAATCACTACATGATTAGTATGAGATCTTGCTGGATTAAGAAGGGAGAAAAGAGAAAGTTCAATAACAAACTCATTACAGTTCAATAACAAACTACATCTGACAGACACTAAGGAAGAAAAATTAGATAATATTGTAAATAAATCAACAATAACATTTTATACTGTGAAGAGTTTAAACATTGTGGTCCAGAAATTTCTGGAGTCTTCTCGTTGTTTTCAAATTTAGAATATATAGATATCAAAATGGTATTGGAGGAAAGAACAGTTTTCGAAGAAACAGACATTTCTTTCAAGAAACAAAAACTCAGCACAGGTTGCTTGACTAAACAAAATTGGAAAATGGGAGGCAGACAAGATAGTTTCAAAACAGCTGATCTGACAATCTATTTTGCTGCTGTTCAAGGAGAGAGGGAGAGGGAGGGAAATAGGAAGAAGGGAGAAAGGGAAGGAGAGAGGGAGGGGAGAGGGGGAGAAAGAAAGAGGGAGAAGGAGGCCAAGAGACAGGGTGAGAGGGAAAGACAGGGAGAGAAAAAAATGTGTGAACACATGCTTTCAATATTAAAATTTTCATTAAATTTCAAATATAGGTTAAATGTTTTAATTTAATCCACATAAACTATAGAATCTTAAAGGCAAAGAAACTTCTATGTACTTTAGGTATAAAAATAAGGAATAAATTGTCTTATTTTGCTAGTTAATTGCTGGATGCTTACTTTTCAAACTAAGTAATGTAAATTATATGTATATCTAAGAAAGCAAAGGCACAGCAGGCTTCATGCTGCTCACACTGAGGGTGAACGAGGGACTGCATTCTTGTTGAGTGCAATACAGGTGGAGATCAATTAAACAAAGAAGCAAACAAGCAGTATGCAATCATAATTTTAATCCCAATCTGCAACTAGAGAAAGAACTCAAGATTCTAGGCAGGGAGATACTTTTCGCCTTGCATAGTTTTGAACAGTGGTGTGGCACTCAAACTGTTTCTTTAAAACTCCTTTAAACAAAACGTAGGCGTCCCCTTCTTCACTAATTATATACTCGGCTGTTCCAGAAACAAACCCCTTATGGCTCCTCATTGCAGCGACCACGGCTCGGACATCTCTGCAGATCAATAGCACACGTTAAGTGAAGAAGAGGCCAATGTGACGAGGGCTGTTTGCAAAGCAAGGGGGTTTAGCTTCCACGTGCTGTTTTGGGTTTCCCATGAAAACATTACACACAAGTCTTGGCTGGGGTAGGTACACTTTCAGAGCTTTTTGAATCAAGCTAGGTATCTGTTATTATTAAAGTCTAGCATATTGGCACGGCTTATAATACTATTGGATGTGTACCCTGCAATTTTACAGATTCCATTGCTGGTGGCCATACATTTTTGATAGCAAAACTACACTGGTTGTAGCACCATGAAAATCAATAAATATTAACCTTCTCCGACACTTTGCACATGGATGCTTTATCAACTGCTGTCAGGTAATAGAACAACCAGTGATGAACTGCATTTCTCAGCTAAGGAATCCAGAACAAATTAGAAATCAATGTAGATTAACAGGCTTTTTAATAACAAATTCATCTACAGAAGTTATTTGCTATAAAAAGAAACAGAGGCTACGCAGCTTTATAATGAGTGGGTGCCCACGTACTCAAAACCGAATACGACACATAGCTGCAGGCTTCACACATGTAACTGCATGGATGCTAAGCATCTGCCTTTGAACTTTGGTAACATGCTGGTATCAGGCCAGCTTCCCATCTTTCTACATCCTTCTGGATGAGGGACACGGTATCCAGCATCACTCTGTGGTTTTCTAACTAAAGGGAAAATTGTTGAGTAGAATGGGTGTCACTTGTCTCTAGAATTTCTCCAAATCACTGCAGTGATGATGATGATGATGATGATGATGATGATGATGAAAAATTTTAACTACAGTCCCATGCTGCTCCCAGGAACACTGGAACACTGACCTGTGCCTTAAATTTTGTTCTCAGAAAGGGAATGGCTGTTAAGTATGGGACTTTAAGAATCCTCATATTAATAGCTGGATTCTAGTTATATCATATTGAAAATAATTTTGCTTTCCCCAAGCCTGGATTTGTGCTTCAAATGAATCAATCAACTGATGAGATCAACAAACAGGCATGAGAACATGAACCTGGATCCTTAGCACCCACATTAAAAACTGCTTGTGGCAGTGTGAACCTGTAATTCCAGCATTTGGGAGGTAGAGGCAGGAGGCCTCAGAGGGCTTGCTTGCCTGCCAGTCTAGCCAAGTCAGTTAGCTCAGTGAGAGACTTTGTCTCAAAAACTGAGTTGGACAGAGACTGGAAAGACACTTGACACTACTCTCTGGCCTCCATGCATGCACACTCTCATGTACAAAATAGCAGTAAACTAACAAAATATGTCCAGTTTGGTAACTTGAATAGGAAAGTGTAACTCTGTTTCTGATAGGTCTCGCATATCCACTGTACACAAAGTGTAACTTTGTTCCTGATAGGTCTCGACATATCCACTATACACAAAGTGTAACTTTGTTTCTGATAGGTCCCCACTGTACACATCATGGAAGGATAAACTATCCTAAGGGATCCTGGGCTAGTTCAGCTACTGAGACAAATGAATACCTACTCAGGAATGACAGGAAGTGTTCTATGGGTACAGCAATAGCTGTGAAAGGCCTACCCTGTGCCCTACAACATACCAGCCTAAGAAAAATCAGAAGTCTTGGAAAAACAATAATATACTAGTAATTTCTCAGATTATACACTTCGAAATTGGATTTCTTGGTGAAAGTATCTATATGAATCCACTTTTTTTCAATAAGTGGTTACATTTGATTTTCAAAGTAATGGCTTTCAGAGTAGACTGAAGAAATATCTAAAACTACTAATCACAGAGCTCGCAAATAGGACCTAATAACACATACTTGATGTTAGGGGAAAAAAAAATCTCACTAGAACAATTCCAAATACAGTGTAACTATATGGTACCAACTGAGACTTACTGAAGAGAGAAGGATTTCTTTGTGGATTGGAGGTCACCATATACATACAGGTGGACTGTGAGTGACAGCCACCCTGACGACCAGAATCTCTAGCAAAAGGAATTTCAGGCACATGGCAGGGTAGACGTGAACAAGTATGAGTGCGAGCCAGCCACCTTGAAGAGCAGAGTCCAAGCGAAATGAGCCAGCCATCCTGAGAGCAGAAATGACTTCAGGACAAACACAGCTGATTTTACAGCATAGTCCTTCAAGAACGACTAACACTTGCTTCAGGTTGGACAATTAAAACCCTATCCTTTAAGATGACCAAAGTCAGGAGCATCCTGCATTTTCAAGGACAAGCTCGCTGCTTAGGACCTCTCCTCCAGCTCAGCTGAGCACACACAGTTTTCTAGCTATTCTCCCATTCATTGTCACTAAAATTTTACAGAAATTTTTTTTTAGAAGGAATAAAAGAAAATCTTGCTAGACCACCCTCCTGTCACAGAAAGTGCCTACAGACAGATGCAGTGACCTCAACTCTGGTCACAAATATTACATGAGACTTTGGGCTGCATTTTGCACTGAGCTACGGCACCTTGGATGCATTGTTTTAATATACTCTTTAGACTTACAACACTGTCTAATCGCCCCACTTTAGACTCCAGGCAAGAAAGCAAACTCAGAGCTTGTGCTTTATGAATGCAGCCTCTGAAGAGCAGACGTCCTCCATGCTCCGCTCACAGTTGGACCCACTGCTACAGAAAGGTGGGTGAGGGCCAGAGAGAGCACGGGGACAAACATGCTTCCAGGATTCCAGACACCCTCAATGAGTGGACAAGCAAACCAACACTGAGATCAGCAAACCATAAGGGAGCAAGGGAAACCCTTCAGATAAAAGCACCCCACGGAAGCGAATGGCAGGCTTTGTGACTGCTCCAAAGGAAAGCCTTGAGTCAGACACTAAGTGAGGAGGGCAGTTAGCTCCATGAAGTCAGAGCTCCCACTCCCCTGAGCCAGCTCGAGGGCACAGAGGCAGCTCTGTTCTCTGCATTTCCTTCTCTGTGGTCAGGCTCCCTAACATAACCCTGAGCTGAAAGAGTTAAGACAGCATCAGTGTTCTGGAAGACACTAAGTGAGTTTCACATAGCTGGCTCCTGTACTTCAGTTAAAAACAGAACAATGACAGAGGGCTGAGCTTGCCCTCAAGTGAGTGGTACCTCCATATGCACAGAGCTAGAAGAGGGTGGAAGGGTCCCAGCGCCCGGGACGCACCCTTCACCTGGGAGCTCTACAGGGCACACATCAGGACAAACACTTCTTTTACTTAGATTCCAGAGTTTTGACTTTTGCCCCAGTGTTTTTAAGAAAACAGAAGACTAAGAAAGTTAGTATCTTCACAAGGCACAGCACCTGTGCGTGGTTCCTCTATTAGCAACCCTGCTGGTTTCCCGCTGAAGACACAAATCCCTTCGGCAGTCTCCTCTAGCTCACCAAGGCCGTTCTCTCACAGCACAGTGAGGGCCTTCGCTGGGGTCCTAGCTGGACATGTTCTTTCATGCCCGAGCCCATGCAAAATGCTTTCCATAAAGCAGGCGTGATGAACGACTGAGAGCTGTCCTTGTGGCTCCTGAGTCATCTCTCTGTGTCACAAAGAACTCCAAAAGAGCCATGATCACATATGATCTGCCCACATGTCTAGCCTTGCATGGAACAATTGAAATCATGCATTTATTCCACTAGTCGAAATCTCAGGCAAACACCCACTGAAAGGCAGTGGGCATTGTGACAGAGATCACAAGCAGTTAGATCGATGGTCATGTCACAGCTGTCTGGGCTTCACAAGCACAGAAGTGAAAGCTGGCAGCAGTCGGGAAAGCTTGCCAAGGTCACACACCAAGGAAACATCCCTGTTAGCCTCAAATTCGGAAGCTTTTCATCATCACGTGTTTCTAGCATGCCACGTGCAATCTACATCTAAGCAGAGGAGAAGTCTGATTTGTACTCGCTGAAGTGTAGAGTGGATTAAATGGCCTTTGCAGCTTACAAAAAGCAGAAAAATGTAGAAAATACAGGAAAACTTGCATTCTTAGGTTTATTGCTTTTTCTGAGAAGCACAAACAGTCAAGAAACAAACATATCAATAAACCTAGAGACATACACAACACAGCATTTAAAATATTTTTAAAAGTTCTTAATTATACATTAGTCACGAAAAGTCATTATGATAGTTATTTGACCAAAACAAAACAATAAAAAGAAGCTATTTACCATCTATATTTATATATTTATGCTCAAACACATTTATGTACAGATTTTTTGCATTTTAAGACATGTATGATCATAGCAGTCAAAATATTCTTCAAATTGCTTTTGCATACAGCTACATGCTGTGGATGCAGCACCCATCTGTAACTAGCTCTTTTTACCTGCTGTGGATCTGTCCATTGCATACATACGCTTTATTAACACAAGCCCTTGTGATGGGTATGCATGTCCTGCCTGGGCCTGCTGAAAGGACTCACCACGAAGACCTTAGAGAGTTGTGCATACATTCTGAGAGACCAATGCACACAGGAGAGACCGCTGAGTCAAGTGGCATCCCAATTTCAAATATGATCAGCACCATGTATGCACCCCCCAAAACATCACATGCAAGTATGTAAAGAGCAACTAAGAAAAAGAAACCCATATTTCATCTATTACATGAAAGACCAGCATTATAAATTTCTATTCGGAAAAGGCCTCGCATAAAGATCTAGGGGAGGTGTCTGGAATACCGTCATTCTGTGGAGATGCTCAATCTCCTAACCCTATGTTTCTCATGTCTTCTGCATTCCAGAGGTTATCTGTCACTGTGAAGTTGTCTCCATAACATGGAACCATGGGAGAACTTCAAATAAAAGTGAAATACATGAAGATTTAACAATGTCCATTATATTAATTACTTAAAGTCTGCTTTAATTTTATCCTTTACACATCAAGTGTCTATAGTTTAGATTCCAAAACACAACTAATTCTTTAAGTAGTTACATGTTGGTAAGGGTACTACTGATACTAGAACATCTATCTGTTCTACTTACTTATTCTTTGTTTCTAAGGAAATAGCAATGCCCACCAATATTATATTGCAGTTTCAAAAGAAACCGGAACACTCTGTGTTGCAGTGAAACATATTAACAGGAAGCAAACAACTCAGAATAGTTTTAATAAGATTCTCTAGGCCTCTTGACTAACAATATATAGGCAGTGAAGACGGCTTGGTCACTCTCCGACTACCAGCTGCCTGAAAGCAGCAGAGACTCAGTGAACTACCTACAACAGGTTTTCAGCTTGTGAACTGTGACCCATGTTGTGGTCGAAAGACAATTTCACAGGCCTGCCTGAGCCCATCGGAAACACAGATATTTACATTATGATTCAAAACAGTAGCAAAAGTGATGTTATGAAGTAGCAACAAAAGTAAACGTCATGATTGGTCACCACAACATAAGGAACTGTATTTAAGGGTCAGGGTGTCAGGAAGGTTGAGAACACCTGGCCTAGAAGGAGCAGTGAAGCTGCACTGACTGGGAGAGGTACAGAGCAGTGGTGTCCCCGAGGAGGACAGGGCAGCCTGCTGAGTTGCCTGCAGGCTGGGTGGTCCGCTTCAAGTTTCCAGCTCCTGTGAGCGGTCCCCGTGCTGGGATGAGGCTTGTATCTGAGTCCCTTCTGCTCACCCACATTCCTGTAAGGAACCACAATAAACTTCCCTGCTCTGTGTTCTGGAGAGGGCTCCCTATCTGAGGTGAGTATCCCTAGGGAAAGGCAGATCACACCACAGAGATGCATTTTCTCATATTCCAAGGGGAATATTTCAATATATTTTCTTTCAGTTTTGGAAGAAAAAGCAACACTAAGGGAAGAGTAATAGGAAAGCTGAGACAATGTTATGGTTTGGTGCTGAGATGAACAAACCTTTACATAAATAACTAAGCCAATATGAGATCAAAACAGACATGTAGAGTGCAAGCCCCTTCAGTATAGAAACAGCGTCTTTGATGCCTGCATGTACGCTGAGCCCTGGAGCATGTTTATCCTGTACCGCCAACCCCATCTCTGTTCTCTAGTGATTATTTTCTCTTCCTGAGCTTTCTACTCCAGCCAAGGACAAAGGAGAGCGGTCTGTCTTTGGTAGGGGGACTACTCCTTATCCCTATTTACTTGGTGCAAACATGGTCGAGTTCCTCTGTGAACTGATCATTTCGCAGAGGTCGTTCAGACCATAACTTTAGAACCCAATCACTACCCTGATGGTCCTTCTTAGGAAATGGGACCCAGTGGGAATGTCTGCTCCCGCTGCTTAGTCTATGGGTCAGCATTTTTATTCCCTTGTACTTAATTCCTGTAAGTGGCAATTATTTAAGATACATTTAGAGAAGGTACAATCCACATTCATCCAATAAAACCTAAATATTAAAAAGCAAAGAAAAATTCAGCATGGTTACTAACGATAAATGGGCCAGCATTTCACATTTGAAAGGGATCAGCAAGTGATACATGAGTAAATGGGAAGAAAATGCAGGCTAAAAAAAAATTAGGCAGAATTAAAAGGGCATACTATGTGTCAAAGAGACAAAGCATTTTAATTACAAAAGGTTAATATCATAGCCAGAGTTGAGACATAGGTGGAAAGATCACTCTAATAAATAGTACCTGAAAATCCACTCAAAGGTACTCTATACGAATCATCCAAAGTTTAGACTTTTAACTAGCAGATGATTAACAAAAAAGATCAGCACACTGTCACCACACCCTCACACACCGTCACACACCCCCGCCACACACACACACACACTCACACTTTATACATAGCAGCCTATTTGACTTAAGAGCTGTATCTATGCAGAGCCCTGCCAGGAAAGCCGCACCAGCTGTATGACTGTGACAGTATGAGGAAAGCAGAGAACTCTGAAGTTAAGAAGCCCATGGGCAAGTTCGTAGCAAATTATCTGAGGCAGACAAAAACAACGCTGTTAATTCAAAGGACAACATATCCATGATGCACACTGGCTAAAGCCCTTGATGTTAGTATTAAGCAGGTAACGATAGTATTCCACATCTTACACCACACACCTTTAGTAGAGACACTCCCGCTTCCCATGGTGAAGAGTTCAAGACAGGTAAATCACTGTGATTGATTCAAATGCAGTCGCACAATACAGAGAATCTGGCCTTTGATTTCACCGATTACCTCCCAGTAGTTACAACAAAGAAGGGAATTTTAAAAAAAAAAAAACTCAACGTATGATTAAATATTGTACATATGCTTAAAGCTTACACTTACCGTGGAGTTTCACATCTCAGACTAAATCTGCTGCATTAGGCCCTCTTTTAGCACACAGTTATGGCAAATCTAAACCCTATAATAAATTCCTAACCCCTTATCACCAATGTGGTTCTCGGTGAGAGAATTAGGACGGATAAAGCACTTTGGGTCACACATCACATGTAGCGCTGCCAACTACCTTTTACAGAGCAATAGCATAACTGAGGTGACAATGACACTGAAGGCTGGCCTCAGACTGTACTTAGTCTTGAGAATTTGGGTCAGCCACTTTGCCTTGGTCCTTGACTACTGAATGAAGAGCAGCCGTAGCCCTGGGTGCTCTGCAGATGAAATGAGACTCTAAAGAACGGTGCAGTATGGAGCTAACGACGAACACATGTGTCACTCGGGAGTCACAGCAATCGAGTCAGTTCAAAGTTGCAGAAACTATTCCTTGTGCTCTTTCCACACAGACCATTGTTCTACTGTGCCTCTGAGAAACATTAGGCTTTGTCCTTACACATCTTAGGAGCAATTGGACACCTCTCTGTGTAGCTGCTCAGTTACTATCTATTATCTGCAAGGCAGGGGGCAGCCTCCCTCGCTCACTCCGACACCTGGTGTGGTATGGAAGGAGACATTGCAGATAGGTCTCATGTGAATGTTTTGTACATGCATGGAGTCACATCAATATGCACAAATAGATCAACACCACAGCTGATACAAAGTATCAGTAAAAATTAATTTCCAGCCACTGCAGAATTTTTGCAACTTGTCTGGCAAAGGAAAAAGTATAAACTAAATTCATCAACACAGATGTTTTCAAAGCCTTGCTTATGAATGAAGCTTAAAAATTAATTTGATTTTTCTCTACAGACAGGGCAATAAGGTTTTGAACTAATAATCTGGTCATAATAGAGAGGTTTAAATTATTATATTTTTGAAGTTATAGTGTTATCAAAGTGAGGGGTCCCTTCACATTCCCATTCACAGGGAAAACTTGAACGACAAAGATCACTGTATTAGTTTCGAGATGTCTCTGGCATCAGGGTTTAGTTCTAAGGATCCTATGGGCTGCTGAGCCCACGGAAGAGATGGCCCATTCAGTACAGAAGCTGCTGCGGGAGCAGGACGGCCTCAGTGTTTAGAAGACAGATGCAGTGGGTGCTGGTAATGGCTCTGAGTATGGAGAAGAGGAGTATAACTAAACATAAATACTCAGATAAAATGCCTGCATAAATTATTATACTACATTTTAGACCTACTTCAAGCAAAACATTCAATTTTACCTGTAGTATGATGATAAATATGGTTTCCTACAGTGAGTGAAAATGACTTTGCATATCAATGTAATAGAGGAATCTGTTGACATCTTAATGCCTAGAAGATGAACACACCTAACTTGATCTTGCCACAAATAACAAAACACACAGTCCTAGACCTGAAATGCTTTTGTCAAGGTAGGAAACATATTACAAATTTGATACCTCAAACTGAACATAAAGCATATAACGTATTTTATTAGACACAGAGAATTGAGGTGAAAATATAGTAAGTACAAAAAAAATTACATACAAAACAAAATCACTTTGTGGACTTTGTTCTAGCTCATGGTCAAAGACTCATAACGTAAAAGTATTTATTACAAACACATTTATTTATTTCTTTAATTATATACTAGGGGGTAAAGACCAGAAATATGGATGAAGATTACACAGCAAGAAAACATTAAAACAAAACAGAATCCTAAACTCTTACTAGGTGATTTCAAAGAGCTATCCTGCTTTTTTTCTCCCTCCTTGTCTTCATTTTACTGTAGCTACATGATCTAGTTTTCCAACTTGTACTCTGTACACACCTGCTGTTGACCCTGGCGTCTCCTCTGCTCACTCAAGGTTCCCATTCTGTCATCTTCCTCTTCTGATGCTGAGCTCTTACAAGATGAAAGTACTCTTCCACTTCCCTTCATACATGTAGTGCTATTCAATTATGTGGGCACTCAGGTTATACAAGTTGGAGCTACATTACAAGTCCTAAAGTAAACAGGACCTCCAGCAAGAACACTTATATATTGATATTTCAATATATATCAATATATATTATTAATTATTTAATAATTAAATGTGCACAAGAAGTATAACATTTGTTAACTATTTTATTTGATCTTTGGCTTAAATGTGAAGCTTGCCCTGTTTAAATAGTCAGAGAATCTAAACATAAGCCAAATACAACAGTCATAGATTAGTATTGACTGAATGCTAAATAAAAATTATCAAATATTCAATAAATATTTGTTACATATAAGATGCCAGAATGTGGTTCACTTAACTATTGGATGAGCAGAAACGGTTAGTAGTTTGGGTCCTGTTAAACAACAGAACATCAAGTGAAACCAAATATCATTAAACAGAACACAAGCACAACAAGAGAACTATGTCTCCATGTTAAGATACAAACACACTTTATAGCAGACTATTTATTACTAACTCATGTTTCTTAAGAGAATAAGAAGGAGAAATGTATTAGAATAATAATGGCTAGAACATGAATATGTGAGCTGTGTTAACAGGCCAGGCTATCTACAGTATAGAACATGGATCTTTGTCAATCAAGAGGAGCACCTACTGGCATAATTGAAAATAACATAGACTACAGAGTAATTTTTAATTATATGCTTTAGCTGCAAAATATAGAACTTAACAGAAATTTATGTTCTACTTTAAACGGTTTACAAATATTAACTCATTTAATCATTTCAAGACATGTGGTATTAACAAAGACTGATAGCAACTTGAGCCCAAGTAGCAAAACAATCTAATACATCATTTAAAAGACAGATTTTGTTTAGGGCAAAAAAAATTCTAATGTGTTCCAGGCCAATATCTGGAAGGAAAACAGCATGGCAATGCACTCTAACAGACTGAAACCAGGTGAGGACCGCACAGCAGGTGCTAGAGCTGTGCCCAACAAGCAGTCTCTTCCAAAAAGGAAAAGTTCAACTTTATATTCTATGCAGTAACTGAACTAATCTATGCTACTTGCAAAGGAATCTTGCCTTTTCCTTTACAAACAGGAAGTCACTTATGCTAGGTTTTTATTTTAAGCATGCACTAAAATTATGAGTCTTTAGAAGAATGACTCCCTGCCAATCACACTGACATGCTACTCAACAAATGGCAGTAATAGCTGTGACAAGAGTGAGCATGTCTGAGCAGAGCTTTTTAGGAGACTCTAGACCAGCCATCAAGAACGCTGCTGGATCGAGTTAGGCCTACGCTATATTCTGATGCAGTGAAAGCTATTAGGTGATTCAGATGCCTACTTTACAATGATGGATTTTCTTCTATTAAAAGAATGTACCTAAGTGTTTTTAATCTTCCTTAGAAAAATGGAAAACAATAAGAAAGTGGAAGAGTATTTCAAAAAGTTCAAATCTCCTTTTTTCACAATAAATTAATTTTGAAATTTTATTAAATGACTTTTATAATACAAATGTTCATTAATATATGCCATATAACACCTTTTGGGTCTATTTAATTTTAGAAAATCATGGCAAGTTGTGTAATTTTTGTTCTTATTCATCCTTATTTCCACATTGTCCTTTCCAAGTATGTTTTCTAACTGATCTCAAAAGGCCACAGTTATGGAGAGTAAAGAAAAGCTGGTTTTCACCATGTGCAATTGTCTAACTGGTGGTATGATGCACATTTACTGAGTCTCTTGAGGGAAGGCAATTCAGCCACATGCCATGACACAGATGAACATTGAAGACACTGTGTGAAATGAAAGACCCAGTCACAAAAGATGACAGAATGATCCCATCTGTATGTGAGGTAGAACAACCTCCTGACCATATCATTTCTTCCAATGTTTGATTTCATATCAGATTTCCTTCACCTCAGTAAGTACAGAAAGAAAGACAGAGAGGAATAGTTACAATATATTCAGACAGAGATACTGAGACAGAGACAGCGAACACGTAGCTTACATGTGCAGCAGTCTAGGACACACATAAATCAGTGATAGCAGTGAACTGCCTAACACCACAGTTCTCAGAAGGCATCTCCTGGTAAATGACACATGACTATAATGTGAATACAAAGTATGAATTAGGTGAGTATATTTTTACAATTTCAAAGTCCACCAGAGAAGAGTATCAGAAGGGAAAAGACCAATTTTTTTTTTTAAATTCAAGAACATAATTAGGGAATACTAGTTTCACTGTATACTGCTTTCTCAATGCAAATACACAGACTTCATTTTATTTTTTCCTAAGATTTTTGTGAATTGCATTGTAAGTTCCCCTTCTTAAGAAAGTCATTCAAGAAAAGGGAGAAGCAGTGACGAACCAGACAACCGCTTGACAGGTTTAAATTAGATCTCAGAACAATGAAGAGGTGAAGGATGTAAAGCTGAGAGGAGAAACGCATATACTCAAATGCCCCATTTTGAGAATAAAATTTAAAACCCATATATACTTAATTTTAGAAACTGCAATGCTAATATAAAGAAAATGGCCCAAAGAAAAACTGCTAACTTATTCCGAACAGAATTACAAAGACAATTAATGGAGGAAGGTTAGTGCTTTCAACAAGAAGAAACCACTTTGCAGAAAAAAGAACGCTACATTTCATGTTATACAAAACATGGCTCAAAGAGAATCAGAGGGCTGAATGCAGAGTGACGCTGTTTAAGAGGCAACAGAACCATGGTCTTTCCCCCACTGTTTCAAGTCTGTGGAGCACCGTGGTGCAGACGGCATAAGAGCTGCCTACCTCGCTGCGGCTGAGAAATAGAAAGTAACACACGAAGAGGTCGTGGGTAAGGCATATGTTCCCAGAAGATGCCCGAGGTCCCCCACCATTATGTCCTAACCACCCATTCTCTATGCAGTCATCGGTGGATAAGCCCACTGACGACAGCAGAGCTCTCAGGGTCCAGGACAACG